AAAGCTCCCTCGCCCACGGCTTGTGCCTCTCCCTGTGTGGTAGTGCTGAGCGTGACCTGTGAGGTTTGGTATGTTTTACACTTTTTTTCCCTGCTTGTCTTTTGACCTGGGAAATATCAGATAGTAACTCTCGTCTGCCCTGTTTTGGCCAGTGAGATGGACGTCGTTGAAGGGGCATGGGGTTGCTTTCAATCTTTAACAAAGAGCACTTTTCTCCCATCTGAGTGCCAGTTGCTTGAGTTCAATTTGGTGCGTAAGAAATGCCTCAGGATGAGCTGGCTCCTTTAAGAGAGTTGAGGATCAGGCTCCCCTATGCCAGGTGCAGCCTTCTTTCCCAGGTGGAGTGACTACCACCGGGGGTCACGTGATGGGAGCTTGTGACTAGAACCAGGCCTGCTCTGGGTAGATTGAACACTGGCTGAATTCAGGAAGAGAGCTGGCTGCGAAGATGGCAAGGGGACAACTCTCAAAACCTGCCAGGCAGAAGGCAAATAGACACACCTTGTTCTCCCTTCTTCTGCAAGTCACCTTATCAAGCGGTCATTTCTCTTCCTAGGTCTAAGTTTCTTGCCTCATGCTGCAGCCTGCACAAGAAGCCCATGGAGATGATTTGCCGTGTTATGATCAGGCCCTCTTCCAACTCTGGGTGCTCACCACTTGCCCCCTCCCGTAGAAGGGCTCTCTTCCTCTGCTTTAAGAACATGAGTACGGCCATACTGGGTCAGACCAAAGGTCCATCTAGCCCATTATCCTGTCTTCCAACAGCGGCCAATGCCAGGTGCCCCAGAGGGAATGAACAGAACAGACAATCACCAAATGATCCATCCCCTGCTGCCCACTCCCAGCCTCTGGCAAACCGAGATTAGGGACACCATCCCTGCCCCGCTTTACTCTTTGCTTGGCCTCTGTTTTGGAACGGTGACCAGTTCTGCTGGGATCTGACGTGGGAAGAGATCAGCGAATGCGGCTCAAGGAGAGCAATGGATAGGAGAAACCTCTTCCACTTGCCTATGGGAAGGGATGTGCTGTCATTGCTTCGGAGGGTGGTGGGGGGAGAGTGAGGAAGAATGGCCTTGTGGGTTAAGATACTGTCCTGCAACATCCTGTGTAACCTTGGGCAAGTCACTTGATCTGGTGCCTCTAGTTCCCATTTGTAAAATGGGGGTAATGAGCTGTGCTTAATTTGTAATGAAAGAGGTGCCGGGGCTCAAGCAATGTTTTTACTTTCATAACTGATGCAGCAAGGCCAGGGGTGCCGGGGCTAGGAACTGCCAAGCCCAGAGGTGAGCCTCCCACAAGCTCTTGCACAAATTAAGCACTGTTAATAAGACTTTCTTCCTGTCTTTCCCTTTGCCTGGTCTGGATTTTGTTTGGTTTGTTTAGCTCACAAACTCTCTGGCGCAAGTACTGTCTCTTCCTATGCGTATGTACGGGCTTCGTCCAATGAGGCCTTGAGCTACGCTGTGTGAGTGCAGGGGACTGGACTAGATGACCTCTCGGGGTCCCTTCCAGTCCTGTGATTCTTTACTGTAATATGAATGACAAATAATCATGAAGCGCGTGTTTCTTTGAGGATGTTCTTTGTGGCCAAATCCTTCCTTATGATGACGCTGCAAAGGAGGAGACCTATTGTGGGAGCAGATTACCCCTCGTCAGCCTAACGTGGGGTTTCTTGCACCTTCCTTGGAAGCAGCTGGTGCTGCCCACTGTGACAGACAGGACCCTCGGCTAGATGGACCCTGGCTCTGCTCTGGTCTGGCAATTCCTCTCTTCCTAAACAACAGTGACCTGTCTAGATAGTGAGGAAGTATCCGGGAGGAGTCCCCTTTTGGCATGTAGAAAGGGCCCCTCTTTGTTCAGCCTGTAAATGGTCCAGAAGCAGTGGTTAATTGGTACCAACGCTGAGCCCAGGCACCTCTGGGCCTGGCAGTTCCTGGCCCCGGCACCTCTGGGCCTGGCAGTTCCTGGCCCCGGCACCTCTGGGCCTGGCTGTTCAGAGCCCCTGCACCTCTGGGCTTGCTGCATCTGTTATGAAAGTAAAAAAATTGCTTGAGCCCCGGCACCTCTTTGCTTACAAGTCAAGCACTGTCCAGTAGCAATGATTGGGAACGGAGGGGGAATAGCCCTGTACTGAAAGGCAGATGGGCTGGATAATCCCATGCGGCTTTTCTGTCTCTAGCGTCTCTGAGCTCTAAATGCCGCAGGGCGGCAATGCGGATGGAAGAGGGGGCCTAGTTGGCTCCCAGGGTAGCTAATGGAGTGTGGAGCCTCCCACTTGTTAGACTGGCTCAAGCTGGTGATGAAGGTCAGAGTGCCGCTGGGTGGCCTGCGTTGAATGAGGCTGATGCAAGTAGGGTGACCAGATAGCAACTGTGAAAAAACAGGACAGGGGGTGGGGGGTAATAGGCGCCTATATAAGAAAAAGTCCCCCAAAACGGGACTGTCCCTTTAAAAACGGGACATCTGGTCACCCTAGATGCAAGTATCCATAGCACAAAACCACCGGGAGCTGCTTTGGTCCAAGGACAGAATGGGCCGTGGAGACTGAACTGCCTTAGAGGTGAGCTCACGCTCAGGAAATGCTGCAGATCTGGGGGAGAGGGAGCTGAAGGATGAGCTCCTGCCCTTGTAACGCTTCCCCGTCACTGGCTCACTTCCCCGTCACTGGCTCACTTACTTGCGGCGGTGGCCGGTACCTGAGTGTGACCTTGAGACGTTGATCATGCTGCCCAGGAATTGCTTGCAAACAAAGTGACTCATTAAAGGGCAACGGTCACTGAGATTAGCCATTAAACCAGCCCCGAGTCCTGGGAATTAGGCCCTGCCCAAGGCTCACTAGTTCCAGCGCTGCGCTGTTCCTGCGTTTTGATTTTATTTATTATTTCAGAGGGGAAAATCCCAGCGCATGTGAGTGGATGTGTAGGTGAGATCTGCTCCTGCTTTCCCATCTGCCCAGCTCACCAGACCCTCCTCCTGGCTCAGTACAGTAACTGCCCCACTCCCTCTCCTTCCCCTCTGCTCTTGTCCCTAGTCTGGAGTTTCTCTGCAGCATTATAGGAGCTCCCCTGATTCCCCACCTCCCCCTGCTCCTATCTCAGCCCTGCCCCAATTATTTTCTTCACACTCTGTATAGCAAACAAGCCCCTTCCACCTCTCTCCTTGTCTGCTGGTGGGAAGGAGTGAGAATCGGGCCTGCAAGGATTTTTAGCTGGCTGTTTGAAGAGGAGACCCAGTTCTCTCTTTGTCCCTGGCTTAAAGGTGACATGACAAGGAAAATGGAGCGTGTGCCCTTTTTTTATTTGCTGCTTTTTGGTGGTCTGAAAAGAAACTTGGTAAAAATAATAAAATCTGGCTTGATTTGTTGTTTTGTTCCACTAGAAATCCAGGTTTCGCCTGCCCCGTGCGGGCTCGGGAGGAGTGGAGAGCTGGTGCAGTGGTGACACCACAAGAGTTCGAGAGTGAAAGTGGAGCTATTAAGAGAAGGGATTTTAGTCAGATGATTTCAGACTTTGGTTTTGCTAACACCTGTTTAGATTCATAGCTTCCCAGGCCAGATTGGGATCACCAAGTCTGACCCCCCCCGTATAACAGGCCAGAGACCTTCCCCCAAATAATTCCTAGAGCTTTTAGACAGACATCCAATCTGGATCTGAAAATTTCTAGTGATGGAGAATCCACCACAGCCCGTGGTAAATAGTTCCAGTGGTGACTTACTCTCATGGTTAAAAATGGACGCCTTATTTCCAGTCTGAATTTGTCTAGCTGCAGCTTCCAGGCATTGGGTCGTGATGTGTCTTTGTCGGCTAGATTGAAGAGCCATTACCAAATACTTGTTCCTCATGTAGGTACTAATAGATGGGGATCAAGTCACCCCTTAGCTTCCTCTAACTCTAATGTCAAAGGGAACTCGCTAGGAAAGTTTGGGCACCTTTGTTTCATCAGTTATCCTGCAGGACTGCATGGTGCACATGCAAAGCCACGGGGCTTAAACTGGCCATTCCTGATAGGTTAACCCCCCCCCCCCCCCAATCCCTCTTCTCAGGCCTACTTTGTCCATCAGAAAGAAGCAATCAATGAATAAAAGGCCATGGGCCCAATTAGAAAAAAATCCTTTCCAAGTGGGGCGGAAGCCCTTGGCCAGGCTTTTAAAAAGGGAGCTGCCTGGGGATTCGGAGGCACCCAACCTGCAGCCCTTTAAAAGAACTTGATTGCCAGAAAATGCTAAGCAGCCAAGCTCTGAGAATCCACGCCCCTTTACCATGGGCAGCATGTATAAGAGGCCAGGGGAGGCTAAGCATCCCCCAAAAAGGCCGGCCAAGGGCCTTTACGGTGTCTTGACCTTGGCCCCATCTGAAGACCTTGGCCGGCTGCAGCCAGGTGTGCGGTGCTGACAAACAGGGGCTGTTCTGCTCGAGTGATCCCAGCGGAATTTTAATGGCACCTTTAACCAATGAAACCTCCACCGGCTTCTCTCTGCCCGTGAGGAGGAAATGGAAGGCCAGCGTCTGGGGGAGGTTAGAAGAAGGATTTAGGGAGACAAATGGAGAGGAGATGGGGAGGGGAAGGAGAAGCCACAGACAGTAGCTGGTAATTGTATACCGATGCCTTTCATAGTGCGAGGCAAGGCGAAATGAAAGGCTCTGGGGAGAGATCAAAAGAAAGTACAGAGAGAGAGAGAGAGAGAAAAAGAGCAAGTGAATGAGCCAGGGAGAGGGATGGATTCCTGATGAGCCAGAATTAGAGGGTTACAGAATCAGCTGAGAGGCAGCTGAAGAAATAAACAGTGGCTCTGGGAGGAAGGGAGCAAACAGACAGGCAGGAGGAGGGGGAAAAGAGCCAGAATAACAGGAACCTTAAAGCCGAGAGCTGGGAAATTAGAGCAGTGACAGTGTTTTTGCACAGGAGGCAAATTGTGTCGGGGTGGGGGGTGGGGGGGAGATTTGTGCGGGTGCAGTTTGCAGTGTGAGAGCCCTGGTCTCTGTGGAGGCAGGAGACGCAGCCCCTTCTCCTGCAGCTCTCTGCCCCGGCGGAAGGAGCATCCCCGCACTGAAGTTGCCTGATGGATTGCAGAGCTGCTGCGGACCATCACGTTTGCAATGGTAATGTATTATCCGGGCGCAGAGGAACGCATGGGAGACAGGCTGGACGACAGGAGAGGAAGGATGAGCTTGTGGCTCAGGCTTCAGCCAGGGAGATCCGGGTTCCGTTCCCGGCTCTGCTGCAGACTCCCTGTGTGATCCCAGACAAGTCAGCTAGGGCAGGTTTGCACTTAAAAAGCTGTGCTGGCGCAGCTTTAGTGAAGACGCTCCTATGCTGGTGGGAGAGCTTTTCCCATCCACCTCTGCCAGAGACAGTAGCTATGTCAATGGGAGAAGCTCTTCTGTCTGCAGTGGGGGTTAGGTTGGTGTAACTGCGTCGCTCAGGGGTGTGGATTTTCAGGCGACGTAGTTATTCTGATGTAAGTTTGTAGTGTAGACCTGGACACAGTCGCTCTGTGCCTCAGTTTCCCATCTCTAAAATGGGAACAATAATCTCCCGTCTTTCACCCTTTGTCTTGTCTGTTTCGATTGTAAACTCTTCAGGGCAGGGGCTCGCTCCTGCTCTGTTTATACGACACCTAGGATGGTGGGGTCCCGATCTCAGCAGAGGACTCTCGGCACCACGATCGTATAAATAGTAATAATGAAATGGCTGTGAATCCAACTTCCCTCTCCCCACCTGTCTGAACCCAAGAAGGAACAAACAAGATTTTCCATTGTTTCACGTCGCCTTCCGCAGAACGGAGGGTAGGTTTATTAAGTGCTCAGGGAAGGTCTGACCCCGGAGCACGTGTGAGTGGCTATCTCCAGAGAAACAAAAGTGGTGTCTAATTTTAGTTTAGGTTTGGCAGGAGCAGCAGCTATCTCAGGAAGCCTGGCTTCCTCCATGTGGTGTCACAGGATTGAGCGTCCCATGGACTAGGCTGTTTGTATGCTGGTCACAAGTGATGGCCGAATACTAGAATGGGTGCAGGCCTCTGGATCTCAGTCATCAGTGTGTCATGGCAGAGGCTACATGGAAGTCCCCATGATAGAGCCCTTTCAGATTCCCCTCCCCGATTTGTGTTTTAATGAGTGTCTCCTTACAGGTTTGAATGTGGTTTCAAACTCTTTCCAGGGTTGGGATTGGGGTACCACTCCGCAGTAGCAGAAATGGGTTTGTCTGCTACTGCCCTCTGCTGGGGAGAATGTCCGAAGGGCTTGTGTGTTCGCATGGCAGAGCAGTCTCTGGAGTTCACCAGGCAGCGGCCTGGGGCTTTGAGCTGTAGGATGGGAGTTCAATCTCTGAGGCTTGTAAGTATCCAATAGGCTACCAGCTGTTCTCCTGTATTAGGAGGCATTATGTCTAAGAGCAGGAAGGTGATGAGACAATGGAGAGGAGTTATTCAGTGCGATCCATGATTTTATGGCAGACATTGACTCCCTACTGACAAGGCAACATGGAGGCAAGGTTCCACATAGCCCCAGAGCGGGCACTAGTCATTCTGATTGGCCTTATGTAGGATGCAGGGCTACATGCTGATCAGTCACACCCACTGAGGTCAGGGGAGCTCCTCGGCATGTACGCGGGTGTCAGCGGTTTCAGCATCGGGCCCACAGAATGGAAGGGAGCTGGTTAGGGACATTAAGCACGTGGGTGGGAAGGCCTGAAACTGACCAGCTCCGCCTTCCTTTAAATGTAATGTCCTGTGGTGACAGGAGATGAGGGACAGGCAAGAAAAGCATCAGTTGATTGAGAAGAGCTGCACAGAGGGAGGGGCGTAATAGTGCAGCCTGGTGTGTTAGAATACATGGGTGCAGCAGCTGCATACGCAATACAAAGGAGCCGCAGACTTAGGGCAGGGATGCGAGGGTGCTGGGAGGACTGCAAAAGTGTGTGTGTGTGGGAGGGGAGCCACCAAAATGGGCCAAATGTGGGTGGTGCTGAGACCCCACGCGCCAAGTCACAACACCACACACTCCCAGCCACCCGTCTGTCATCGCAGCAGGGAAGGGGGTCTGCCATTATATTACCCAGCTCTGGTCAGGGGACAAGGACCCCTCAGAAGTGTGTGAAAGGGGCGATGGTTGTTTGGTGCCATCCCCCTTCTCCGGCGCCTGTGCAGGGATGCCAAAGAGAGCCCTAGAGGGATGGCACGAAACAAAGTGGCTATTGGCTTGCAATTTGATATGGCAGCTGAGAAAGTTAATGTGACCTTGGGCTTCATACATGGCTGGGTCCATATTAGGGTTTTATGGACCTGTAATTCTCAATGGGCGCAGTTCCACCTACAGTGGCAGACCCTGTAGTGTAGCTAGGGCGTAAGGCTCACCATGGTAAAAACACCTGAGCCTTAACTACACTAGAATGTCTGCTATTGCTACGATAGTTGGAGCTGAACCTGTTGGGGAATTATAGTGGAGACCAGGCCATAGAGGCTGATGTTGTGGAGCAGGGACATGATGATCCTTTCCATTGTGGCCCTGGTGGGATTGCAGCTGGATCATTGCAGTCCGTTCTGGGCATTTCAGTACAAGACAGATGGTGCTTTGTCGATTTCACACAAGAGAAACATAGGGCTAGACGAGAGCTACTCAGACCTCAGTGGATCAGGAGTCAAATTAGCCATCAACACTACCCAAAAGAGCCCAAGGAGTGTGAATTCATTGTTTCACTTACTAGAGCACTATATTCCCTAGCCTCTGTTTGCCAGAGGCTGGGAATGGGCGACAGGGGATGGATCACTTGATGATTCCCTGCTCTGTTCATTCCCTCTGGGGCACCTGGCACTGGCCACTGTCGGAAGACAGGACACTGGGCTAGATGGACCTTTGGTCTGACCCAGTGTGGCCGTTCTTATATATTCATATTTAAACAGTATAGTAGGGGAAATATTTAGTTTATATATATAAAATAATACTTGGTCAGTCACTTTGCTGTGAGAATTATATATATATATATATATATATATACACACACACACACACACACACACACATATACCGGTATATAATTACTGTATATATATAATTCTCATAGCAAAATGACTGACCAAGCATTATTATTTTATCAACTACAATTGGTTAATAACATAGTAAAAGCCTCCTCACTGGCTAATAACTTAGACTGGTTAATAATTAAATCACCCAATGTTTTACTATCATGTGCTGCAAAGAGCCGCAGGAGGTGCGTTCAAGAGCCACTTGTGACTCCCGAGCCTGAGTCTGAGTCTCACTGGGCTGGAGGGACAGACGGCTGGGGGAAGATGAAAAGAACAGGACAGTCTGGAGAAGTAATGGCCAAGTGGGGGAGAAGGGAGGAAGGATGATGACCAATTTACAAACTAACTGCTGAGAACAGCGTATGCTGTGTTGTTGTCGCTGTGTCGGGCCCAGGATAGTAGAGAGACAAGGTAAGGGAGCTTTTATTGGACCATCTTCTGTTGGTGAGAGAGACAACCGTTCAAGCCGCACAGCGCTGCTTTCCAGATGTGTCCTTGTGTAACTGGCAGCATCCAAAGGGTTAAAGATGAGTTAAAACTGTGATGGAACGCGGCTCTGTATGCTCATCAAAGAAAATGCTGCTTAAACAATCTAGAAAGGGATTGTCCAGCACTTAATTTGCTGGAACCGGCCTCTCTTAATTCAAGAAATAGTTCTTTACGAATCCTGGCTGGGTGACAGAACATATCCAAGGGCAAGATGTGCTGAAGTATCAGGAAAGAGCAGGCCCGTAAATCAGTGGGCGGTGGGTGCTGCTTTGCAAACAGCCTCCCCGCAGCACTTTTCGTGCCATGTCTGTTGATGATCAGTAATTCTGCCACTGCAAAGGGTTTGTATCTAGTGGCTCTGTACGGCTGATTGCTCCTCGGCCCGAGCAGTTTCATGAGCCGTGCGCTGATGCAAGGAGAAGTTGACATCTGAGACACCTCCCTGCCCTTCCCAACCAGCACCCTCTGCAAGTTAGCATTGCAAACCCCAGCGGGGAGCGTGCCCTCCCCAGCCAGCATCCACAGGTAGGAGTGAGGAGCCTGGCTCTGCCAAAGACCCGCTGCCTGGGGCACGTCACATCCCCTCTCCGTGCTGCATTCCCCCCCTGTGGAATATTGATGCCTCCCTGGTAAAGTGCTATGAGATCTACAGATAAGTGTGCTAGAAGAGCTACGGCGTCTCATGACTAATCAGAGCTATCCCTTATGTTTTCTGTGGTCTGCTGGCAGCCGGGATGCCCAGATTTTGACCAGCTGCACCTTGGCACTTGGTGATTAGCACGTGAGAAGGGCCCGATATCACTAACCTGCCCTGACTCCATGAGCAGGGGGCATCATAGGGGGTGAGGCGCCATGGCTGGGGTATTCTGCAGCCCTGCAAAGCCTCGTGGGGTTATTGCAGCATGGGCACAATTTAGGGCAGCCCTAAGGCCGGAGGCCACGTCAGCCCTACGCTCCTGAATAAGCACGATGCAGAGCTCTGGCCCTGCAGTGGCGCAAGGATGAAGCAGGCCCAAAGAAGGCTTTGATCTGGCTCCTGAAATGAACGAGGACCCAGGGGGGTGACATGCTCCCTGTGGGTGGCAGGGCTGGTAGGATGTGGTTCATCTCTTCCTATTTACTGGGTGTCAGTTCCTCAGCTTCACGTTTGAAAGCACAGAACGTTCCTGCTGGTGCTTCCTCGGGATAGCTCCTCCCCCCTCGCTGTGTCGTAGGCGCGAGGAACAAGCGGTCCGTGGGAGGGAGGGAGGTGAGTTGGGCATTGGGCGGTCTGTCTGCGTTCAGTGCTGCTGCGGGCACAAGCCGAGAGTTCCCTCCCCTGGGCAGGCTTTGGCTGCAGAGCGCTTCCAAAGGCAGGTGGCTTCCGTGCTACCTTTGGGCTTTCGTGGTGGCTACAGAATCTGCCCCAGAGCCAGCTGTCCGTGGGCCCGTTCCCAGTGGAGTGCAGCGGGGGCTGTGCCACTAGAAGTGCAGCCAAGACTTTAGACCGAAGTCCTTTCTCCCCACCCAGTAGCTGCAGCCCAGAAGGGAATTAAAGCGCCATATGGCGCCTCTCAAAACAGGCAGCAGGGCGGAGGACGTGGCAAGATT